AGATCATGGGTACTCAATGCTCATTATATGCCCAGATTTCTAAAGATTTAAACTCTGGATTAAGGTTGGTACCAGGAACACATTGCTTTTTTTTTTTTCTGATGTGGCTGTGAAATATGAAATTTTAAGACAGATACACATGAACAGTCAGACTGTTATGTCTCTTAACTGGTGATGAGGATTTAAACTGAACTTAACATTCATAACTATATGGTTAATTAGACATGACAATTGTTGTAAGACATCTTTAAATATAAAATTTTCTTTTTCAGTTTGTCACTTGAAACAGTTTGCTCAAATTATTCTTTACAACCTATGTAATTTTATTTAAACTACTGTTCTACAATTTGTGAATTTTAACTGAAAGCAAATATTTGAGAATAATAAGTTATTCTAGGGCAGCAGTTCCCAAAGGGAACTGTGCTCTCCCCTGCTGGCTCTGCAGGACTGGAGGTGAGATCAGAGTTCTCCCCCTCCGGCCCACTAGCACTTTGCTTACAGCCGACCCCCAAAAAAAACCAAAAACGACTTGATACTCCTATTTTGAGACATTTAAAAGAACAACATGGGGGATCTTCCAAAGATATACGCTTTTGTGGTTTGGAACTTGTTAAACGGGATCAGAGGCGGGGAGACTTTGATAAAATTCTTCGCCAACGTGAATGTAGGTGGATCTACAAACTAAATACTCTCAACCCAAGAGGTTTAAATGAGGGTTTCTCTTTCTCCCCTTTCATCTGAGTTGACTAGAATATAATCAAGTGAGTCAATCAATAAACCAACTCTCCCCTCCGTCTGTTCCTTCTGTCCTTCTGTCCTTGGTCCTTACATTACATTATATTTTATCATATATATTTTATCATTCGTTATTATTATTTTCTATAATTCTCATTTCATCTTTACATCATTGCATTATTATTTTTCTCATTTACCATTTTCCTTTTTAGCCTTTGACTAGCATTACTTCATAATAGTGATCATCTTTAGTACACATTTTTGTCTAATGTAAAATCTTTATTGTGGCATGTCTAATTTTAGGGACCATTTTGTACTGTGAATCCTCCTTTCTTATTTCGATTTTTGTGTATGTATTTATAATTGTCTTTATTTTCACTTATAGCCCTATAGCGATTTGGGATTTTTCTATTCCCCTCTTTGGGTTGTGATACTTATTAATTATGAATTTTACTCATACGGTATTTTGAGATTTACCCAGATATTATGTATCACCTATTATCATGATGTAGTTGAAGGTATAACAATATAGTAAATAATACCTTTTGAGGCAATCGTTTAGTTCATCTTTTATAGTAACTATTCTAAATGTCCTCGGTTGGGGGAACAATATGATACTTTTTTATTACAAATCCCCTTTCATCCGAAGTCTAACTACACTACATTTACTGTAACTATTCAGTACCATATCGGCGGCTATATTGTTATCTCAATACTCTAATCCGTGATTACTTGGTTTCCTCATATTCTTGACATGACGGCTTTAATCTCCTCCCCGTTCTCTGTTTACATTCACGGATATCCAATCACCTTGGATCTATCCACGCCCATCGTTCTCTGATTGGCTGGGCTACCTGGGGAGTGTTATTACGTCAATCATTGCGGTAAACTTTTTGATTGGAGGATTCTCCTCAAGGGGTGTATCCCCCTCCCTTTATAAGCGGTTCTATCTTTACATGCCGGTTGGCTCTTGATAAAGGCGTAGCTTACACGCCGAAACGCGCGTCGAGCTGTGATCAGCCGATGCTGTGATTTTATTATTTTCTTTATTTATTTACCTGGGTCTACACTGTGTCCCCCCTTTCTCTTAACTGCTTTCAACCATTGATTATTTAGGGACTATTCTAGGCTGCCACGAAGCAGCAGATAGGAGGGTGTGTGCGGGCTAGACAGTCTATTTTATTTTTATGCTTTATTAGGGAAGCTCTTTTCTTGGTATTTGATTGTGGAGACTTCATTTTGAGTCCCACAGAGGTTACTTTCTTACCTTTGTACCTACTACCCTCTTGGCAAGTCTTGATATTTGCCCACACACTCTCTATATATCTTTTAGGATTTTTCCCCAGCACTATAGCACCTTCTTTTCAAGCATATCAGTGGACTACAGTGTTTTCTAATTTATTTTGATTTAGTTTATTGAGGGATCTTTACTTTTGTCTGTGCTTATAAGACTATTGCATTCTATTACATCTCCTCGATAATAATAATTATTTAATCATTTGGAGTTAAATTGTACCCAGGTTTTTAATGGGTGTTGGCACTTATTTTTTCACATTTTCGTATTTAATAAAGATTTTCATTTTTATGTGACACTTTATATTAGGAGGTATTTTTCTATGGGTCGGCATTTCCATTCACTAGTTGTGATTGGTTCTTCCGCCCCATTCTTTTTCTAATTGATATAAGTAATTGGGGTTAGGCCCCTTATACCTCCTGTAACCTTTATAGGTAGAGGGTGTGATTTTTCATCCCCTCTCCCTCTTCTCCTTTTTTTTTATATGGTTAATTAGACATGACAATTGTAGTAAGACATCTTTAAATATTAAATTTTCTTTTTCAGTTTGTCACTTGAAACAGTTTGCTCAAATTATTCTTTACAACCTATGTAATTTTATTTAAACTACTGTTCTACAATTTGTGAATTTTAACTGAAAGCAAATATTTGAGAATAATAAGTTATTCTAGGGCAGCAGTTCCCAAAGGGAACTGTGCTCTCCCCTGCTGGCTCTGCAGGACTGGAGGTGAGATCAGAGTTCTCCCCCTCCGGCCCACTAGCACTTTGCTTACAGCCGGCAGGTGAGGGAGGTAGAGAGGACCCGGGTGTGCTTACCTGCAGCTCCGTATACACACACTACCCACATACACACACACTGCTCCCATACACACACACTGCTCCCATACACACAATCACCCCCCATACACACACTACCCCTCAGAAACACACACTGCCCCCATACACACCCACTGCCTACCATACAAACACACTGCCCCCATACACACACACACTGCCCTCCCATACACACAATTACCCCCATACACACACTACACCCCATATACACACTGCCCCCGCCACACACCTTTCTACCCATACACACACTGCCCCCATACACACACTACCCCCATACACACAATTACCCCCATACACACACTACCCCCATACACACAATTAGCCCCATACACACACTACCCCCAAACACACACTGCCCCCATACACACACACTGCCCCATGCAGACAACTACCCTCCCTTACACACACTACCCAGCACACATACTGCCCCCCATACCCACAATTACCTGACCCATACACACACTACTCTCATACATGCACTGCCTCCCATATACACACACTGCCCCATACACACAACCTGCCCCTCACACACACACACTGTACACCTCACATACTGCACCCCACACACACACTGTACCCCTCACACAACCTGCCCCCCCCCACACACACTGTATCCCTCACACACACACTGTACCCCTCATGCACAAAGTGCCCCACATACACACACACTGCACCACTCACTTACACACACAGATGACATCCTTCACACACCCACTGCACCCTGCCCCACATGTACGCACACTGCACACTGCCCCACATACACACACACTGCACCCCTCACACACACACACAAACGACATCCTTCACATGCACACTGCAGCCCTGTACACAAACACACGCACACTGCACCCCTGTACACACACGCACACTGCAACTCTCATGCACACACATATTGCACACCTCACACACACATACACACACACACACACACACACTACAGCCCCTATCCCGGCAGAACCCAGGTAAGTTGTCAAACTGTTCTTAAACAGTTTGACTACTTACCCTGGGAGGGCACTACGGCACTACTGGCACCATAACCACTACAACGTAATGTAGTGGTTATTGTGCCTGGATTGTTTCTTTAAATAATCTACCAGTGCCACTCCTTAGATTAGGGGCCCAGTATATGCCGAAAATTGTTTTGACTTGGGGTGCCTTGGAAAAATACTGAAATTTTAAGGGTGCCTTGAACCTAAAAAGTTTGCGAACCACTGTTCTAGAGGGTTATTTGTTTGGAATAGTGTTGTGATGAAGGCAAATTGAACTAATCATTAATGCTTTGTCAAATACAATGAGTTTATAAAATATTAAACTTTTATACATGATAATTGCACAACACTATGGTTTAGCAGAATTTACAGCAATACATAAAACACCATTAGTGTACAATATTTTCCTCTAGACTTGTTTGACATGTGTATGCATTTTCTTCATCTTAAATGATTTATTACAGTACAAGCAAAGCAAGACCCCAATTAGGTTCTTCCAAACTCCAAATCTTATTTTCTTCTTGCCTCCAATACTGAAACCAGCATGGCATTTTGTTTATTAACATGTATTGTACATGCATGTTAATGCATGAATTTAGCAATGTTAGATTTCCTGAAAATGTGTGAGAAAATTAAGTGTAAAATAGCATAATAAATTAATATTCAATAACTCAAATAAAAATATATTTTATGATCTATAGATTGTTATTTCTAAGCTAAGGAGAGTTAACAGAAGTTTCTGCTTTGGAACTTCCAGCTCCCCATATGGGTGTGGGGAGTAGGGAGGGGGGGTTGCATAATTATAATGACATCCATGTTTGGCCCCTTTTTGACAGTGCCATGAAGGGGAGGGGTATAGTCATTATCACATAAAGCCTGGGTGAATAGCATTTTCACAGCTATGGTGTCAGGAATACATGTATACATGTATGTATTCCTGACACTATAGTGTTCCTTTAATCAAATTAAAGGAACATTCTGGTCACCATAACAACTTCATCTAAATGAAAATGCTACGATGCCAGGAGGCCCCTGCGTGCTCTCTTTCCTTTAAGGGGTAAAATCTCTCTCAAATCTCCAGGTCGCTCAAATCTCCAGATCCAGATCTCCAGGTCGCTCAGTGGTATTCGGCTTGTGAAACGGAGGTTCAGGAAGTGCAGATTGACGTCAGGCTTGGGTGCCACTGACTGGCTAAAGTCAGCTGCCACTCTAAGCCAATTGCTAGCTCCTGGTTAAATTTTTTTTTACATTTTTTATGAATGGGGAGTTACTGATTGGCTTAGAGTGCCAGCTGACCGCTCTAGCCAATCAGCGACACCCCTACCCAACAGCACTCTGTAGTTCCTGACACTCAGTAAATAAAAATCACATTAACACTGAGATTTTTTTTTTATGATGAGATCAGAAGGTCCAAAGTGTCCCTGCCAGGCCCAGGTTCCTTTTCTTATTCTTCATTTGACACAGTCTTCTTATTATTCTGACACTGTCTTTTCTCCTCTTTGGCTTCTTCTGCTCCTTTACCTTTCTGCTACTTCCTGCTTCTTTTGCACGCTTCTGCTCCTTTCTCTTTCTGATCCTTTTCTGCTCCTTGCAGACCCATTGTACTCCTTCTCCTACTTTACCTTTGTGCTCCTTCTGCCCCTACCAGCTCATTGCTGCTCCTTTCTGCTCCTTGCTGCCCCTTCCTGCTCATTTCTGTTTCTTTTCCTTCCTGCTCCTTCTCCTACTTTACCTTCCTGCTCATTTGCTGTTCCTTGTTGTTCCTTTCTGCTCCTTCTACTTTACTTTTGTGCTTCTTCTGATTCTTTCTGCTCCTTTACCTTCCTTCTCCTTCTGTTCCTTTCTACTCATTTCTATTCCTTTCTGCTCCTTTTCCTACTTTACCTCTGTGCTCCTTCTGCCCCTACCAGCTCCTTTCTACTCATTGCTGCCCTTTCCAGCTCCTTGCTGGCCCTTTCTGCTCCTTCTTTTACTTTACCTTTTGCTCCTTCTGATTCTTTCTGTTCCTTTACATTTGTGCTCTTTCTGTCCCTTCCTGCCCCTTTCTTCTCCTTGCAGACCATTCCTGTTCCTTGCTGCCTCTTCCTGCTTCCTTGCTGACTATCTCTGCTCCTTGCAGACCCTTACCGCTCCTTGCAGACACTTCCTACTCCTTGCTGTCCCTTCCTGCTCATTTCTGCCCCTTCCTGTTCATTTTTGTTCCCTTTTTTGCTCCTTCTCCTGCTTTACCTTTGTGTTCCTTCTGCCCCTTCCAGCTCATTAATGCCCCTTTCTGCTCCTTGTTGGCCCTTTCTGCTCTTCTCCTACTTTGCCTTTATCTTCTGATTCTTTCTGCTCCATTACCTTTGTGCTCCTTCTGTCCCTTCCTGCCCCTTGCTGACTCTTTCTGCTTCTTGCAGACCCTTCCTGCTCCTTGCTGCCCCTTCCTGATTCTTGCAGCCCCTTCCTGCTCCTTGTCCTCTTTGCTCCTTGCTGACCCATCCCGCTCCTTGCAGACCCCATCTGCTCCTTGAAGACACTTCCTACTCCTTGCTGCCCCTTCCTGCTTATTTCTGCCCCTTCCTGCTCATTTCTGTTCCTTTCTGCTCCTTCTCCTACTTTACCTTTCTGCTCCTACTGTCCCTTCCAGCTCACTGCTGACCCTTTCTGCTCCTTGATGTCCCTTCCTGCTCATTTCTGTTCCTTCTCCTTTCTGCTCCTTCTCCTACTTTACCTTCCTGCTCTTTGCTGACCCTTCCTGTATGCTGAACCCCTTTCACTCACTTACCTGATCTGTAGACTGCCCCCCCATGCCTCACTTACCCAATCTATAGGCTGCCCCCCATGCGTTACTTACCTAATCTGTAGGCTGCCCCCCATGCCTCCCTTATCTGATCTGTAGGCTGATTAAATTTTTTTCTTAAAAGGTACAGTTCATTAAATAAAAATAATATTCAAATGAACTTCCTTTGTAAGATGAAATTAACAAAGAGCTCTAAACGCAAGAAATTTGTAAAGAAGCAATGCTCAAAATATAATGTTTGTAACTGGGTATTTTATTTCTAAATAATGATTGTACATAATGATTTAATTTGTGCATAACATAAGGAAGGATGATTGAATGCAATACCTGAATTATACTGCTCTTTTCAGCATTAAAACATGTTTCTCCCAGGCAAGAATCCTTTCTGACGAGAAAGACTTGAATTTCTACTTTTAATGCCTTTCTCATAAATTTAAAATAACAACGGAGAGCCATGGTCATGCCCCACAGTCCAAGTATAAGAACCTGCCTAGTTCAAAAGAGTACAAGATTTCAAAGCGGTTTTCAGACAAAAATAGAAGAAAAATGTGAAGACTAATTAGTCATTCACAAAGTTGGCATTTCATTTTAATGTACCGTGTTCTTTGCCATTCTTACTTCCAGATTGATAACATACTCATTTGTGTGTTATATATAAGCGTATTAATATTGTTAATTTATGACATAAAATCAAGTTCTGAAATCGTGTAAAATTAAAAAAGTGTTGCAATCTTCTAGACATATAGAAAATGATACAGTCCTGTTAAACAAATTCCCATTCACAGCTAGTCCAGATCACATAACTACAAAGGTTCACCATTTAGTGAATTAGCAAATAATCCTATTAAAATATTGAATGTATTCACTTACTTACTTAGTTGATGTTCCCAAAATAAACATTACAATGTTAATCCCAGGACATTCAAGTAGTGAATGGAGTAACTAGATAATCCACTGCTCATAAAATACAAAATATTTACTCACCTCCTAAAGGGGCACTGTAGTCACCAGAACAACTAGACTGCCTCCGACAGTTTGCCTTCTTCCCATAGTGCATCCTGCTGCCATCTCTTCCACAGGTAAATGGCACGCAGCCATCCACCTGATCTAAAAAGGAAAACCTTTTTCCATTACTCCATGGTCCAGTTCTTATGCTCTTGGCCACAGGGAAGGCACTTTTGTGAGGCTGTGTAGATGTAATTGGTCTTCATCTACACAGCCTCATACGCAGCAAACTGCAATGCACTGTGTGTTCTGACACCTTTCTGATTCCAGCATTTAGTTTTCCAGCAATTTGAGCTACAGTAGCTCTTCTGTGGCTAGCCTTCAGATCCCCAAGTACATACATGAGCCTTGGGTGCCCATGACCATGACACTGGTGGTCAGTCAGTGGTTCAGTGGGTGTCCTTATTTGCATTACTTTTGGTAGATACTAACCACTACATACCAGAAACACTCAAAAACGCTTGCCATACTGGATTTGCTTTTTTAATGTTGTGTCCACTAACCTAGGACAAGATGGTGTCCTAAAGTATGAATACCATATTCACTGAATATGGGTAGGAGTTCATTTATTAAAGAAACACTGTATGAAAAACAATATGTTCCATTTCCAACAACGTGTAAATTTACAAAATCTCATAAAGACAAAGTACACAGTTTAAGAAATACAATCTTTCATTCTAAAATATGTTAATATTTGTATATTCCCATAAAAATCGAGTGTGTGGCTGCAGTGTGTGGAGTACCCTGATAAGGTGGCAGCCTCCTCTGTTTGAAATGCCATAATATTGAAGGTGGTGATGTCAGAAAGAAAAGGCTACATTGAAAATCTAAGGTATCATCAATCTTAAACATTTTTTTTGTGTTTGAAGATGATTTTTAGATAGAGAAGTTGAAAGTGAATGGTTCTGGGCAGAAATAGATAGCGATTGAAAAATTGAGAGACTGTAAAATACTCAGAGAAGACAATGTCAATAAAACAACCTCCATTCACAGTTAATTCCAAGTATTGCATGTACACAATAAATGGCAATGATCAACACGGATAGGAGTAGCACGGACCATCACTCCTCCATTTAATTATGTTACACAAGAAAGAACAAGGCCTCCGATTAGCCAGATGATTCTGATAGTCTTATTTATTTTGTCGCATACTGAATGCTGGTTTGTAGAGAGTAACAAAGAAAACCGTTATATACGTTATATACACATATATTAGATATCTTATGTAAATAGTAACTGCACTGCTATATAAATATTACGTGTTTTCCATATTTAATTACTATTGTACTAATGTACTATTAAATTATGAACTCATGCAATACAGAATGTGCTTTAATTATATATTGTTTTTTTTATTCCTTGTATACAGATCAGCATATGAATTGTGATAGCTATTTTACAGCAATTATCATGTACCTAAATACCTCATCTGTATGAGGAATGGCAAAAACATTATGATACACCATATTACTTATCTTTTGTTTATGCTAAAAGCAATAAAACATCAGCAATGCTTTAATGTGCATGGCTTATATGTAAAATAATAAATCTATAATACATATTCAGTGGGTATGCAAGCTTATTAATAACTGCAGTGATGTGTAAAATTGTTCACCTATTAAAAATGCATTATGTATATAATTATACAGATACATTCTGAACAATATGTTGCCAAAAAAATCTTAGAAGATAACTTTTATTAGTCAGTTAATAAAAATTAGTATACTAAAATGAAAAAATAAATAAAGTCTTTTTTTGGTTTAGTTATAATGGTTCTTGCTTACCTGATGTCCTTGTCCATTGCTTTTCATCAACAGACCACATTTGCCAGTTATATTAAAGACTAATCATGCACTTTAGCAATGGGCATACTGAAGATTATTAATAAAGCACAGTTTTAGGGCAACAATTTTAATGCTGCCAATTACCATGAACATTCTATGGGTTTCTATGGTGACTGTTCCACTTTTAGAATTCTACCCGCGACCATCCTTTTTACATAGACAATCTATATTGCAGATGATCAGTAAAATGATGATCGCAATTAAATATATATGTGTGTAAAATAGCAGGGAAATGAGTAACTACATATATATATATATATATATATATATATATGAGATCTGCTTGTTATGTATTAAACAAACCAAGGTTCTTTTGCACCTGCAGCACTAAATATAACAGTTCACACCAAGATAGATAGAAATAATCAATTTCAGTTCAGAGCTTTAATATTACATCTCATCCTTTACTCGCTATAGATTTAAATATAGGTTCTATGATCGACAGACTGGTACCACTGCCTCTTTTTCTGTTTTTGCATTCAGTCTTCTGTTGTAATTGTTTTCTAATTTATTTAATTTAATATGCTTCTGTTATTTCCAGTTTTCTTTTGCAGAAAGTTATATAATAAAGTGATATTTTATAATTATTCATAGTCTACACGTTATTTATTCATATATATTTGACTCACGATAGTGCACTACTAATCAATTTGTTTTTGTTCCTTATTGTAGGCTGTTTTAATTATGCAGTTCAATGTGCATCATAATAATTCAAT